CTGGTCGTCTCTTTTTTGATGGAGACAAAGACAATTTTGTTGACACTTGGTTATCTCGGGTATATTCAATAAAGATCACTGTATATCAAATATCTTTCAGAGTTATTGGCTGAATCCTGATATACATGTTTAAAGGTAAAACTTCCTTAGGGTTTGTCCATGAGTGTGTCTTTCAAAGTTATTGTCTGAATCCCGATATACATGCTAAAAGGTACAACTTCCTTAAGTTTTGTCCATGAGTGTAACTTTCAGAGTTATTGTCTGAATCCCGATATACATGCTAAAAGGTACAACTTCCTTAAGTTTTGTCCATGAGTGTAACTTTCAGAGTTATTGTCTTAATCCCGATATACATGCTAAAAGGTACAACTTCCTTAAGTTTTGTCCATGAGTGTATCTTTCAGAGTTATTATCTGAACCCGATATACATGCTAAAAGGTAAAACTTCTTTAAGTTTTGTCCATGAGTGTATCTTTCAGAGTTATTGTTTGAATCCTGATATTCTATATACAGTTACGAGCGTCATGCGTTCTTCATCTCTGTCACCGTTTGCCTTTTTTTTTTAAATGGCGCTCTCCTCTTGGTTCGCTACGATGGCGCCGCCACTACGCGAGACACTTTGTTTTTGACTTTGACCCCCCCCCCCCCCTCCTCCCCCCACTCGCTTTTTGGTTATTGTAACTATTGTGTTGGAGCGGGTCGCTCCTTAAATAAATGCATATATTAGTTAATAACTAAATGGAATCCTCTCTTTCTTTTTCCCAGTAAGAGACGCCTACGGAAGCCAACAGTACATAGACAGATAAAGCACATAGGCTATAGTTATTAACTAATATATGCATTTATTTGAGGCGCCAATTTATAATTGTAACAAATAGTATTTGAATAAAAACATTCAATCGGGTAAAACACGGGCGTTAATGATCCAACAGGTCCACGTGTCTAAATTAAAACACGGGCGTTGCCCGGGTCATTCGGCTAGTACATGCTAAAAGGTACAACTTTCTTGGATTTTGTCCATGAGTGTATCTTTCAAAGTTATTGTTTGAATCCCGATATACATGCTAAAAGGTACAACTTCCTTAATTTTTGTCCATGAGTGTATCTTTCAGAGTTATTGTTTGAATCCCGATATATATGCTAAAAGGTACAACTTCCTTAAGTTTTGTCCATGAGTATAAATAAATACAAAGAAAGGTTATACACATTTCAATGAGCATTCTAAATGGCATAACGCTATATTTCCGAATAAATATCAAATAAATATATATTTCAAACTTTATCCTATATAATAGATTGGCCAATATTCTGAGATAAAGCAGTTCAGTGAAAAGCAGTTCGACTTTGTAACTTACAAATATGCCAGAGTCCCCGTTTGGTTACTTGCACTCGCTGGTGGGGTTGGACTTTTGCAAGAATCGGGGTCCATTGTAGCATTTTTTTTTTTATCAGAAAAAAAGTGTCCAATGCCGGAATCGAACCCGGGTCGTAACGGTCGAAAACCAACGGTTTAACCAGCCTTCCACCGACCCCCACGTTTATATGTATTTCCCTCTAGTAGTATTTGTGAACCTGGGCTCAGCTGGCCTGGCTGATAGTACCCTGTAAGGGCTCCTGATCCAGGGATACAGGATGATCAGCATTTGTACTCCATGTTAGGAGCGGCTGCACATGACATCTGCTCCTCATGTCAGAGGCGGTTATTTCTTTTGGAGCTAAGTCGGCCTGCCATTGAGTAGTGCTCACAGTTTTAATGACAAAGGCAGACGCATTCTACTTCACCCAGTCATGATGATTGTCAAACACACTATTGGCTCATCCATTGATGAGCTCTATTCATCCCCGGCAGACACCATCAACAAACTCTACAAACTTGATACCTTAATATGATTGAGTGGAGATAATATAGAAGAAGAAGTATTTGTGAATGTTGAGATTTTGTGAGTATTGTTTCATGTTGGAATCGCCTACAGTATTTATAGGTATCGAGAAAAAATACAGATATTGTCCTCTCTTTTCTGATGGTTAGATTTCAAACTCCCAAGTAGACCTGTATACATTCATTTTAGAAAAACTGTATGAATAATTGGTTTGCCGTCTGGTGTGTTTTATTGTATTAGTTTCGCATCGATAGGGCTTTTTCTATCGTGCGGATAAAACATTTTATCTTCTTATTAAATGAAATATTAAATTTTCTCGCGCGAGAACACCACTGGAAATATTCTCTTGGTGAGATTTTATTTCTTGACCCAAGAAGTGGAAAAAAAACTTAGTGGGGGGAGAATTTTATTCAATCACGGTGTCGACGGGTAGGGAGGGAGGGATATTGGAGGCCGTGGCTCTTTCCAATATCGCAGTCAGTTTATTGTCCCCTTGCTGCTATGGGTCCTTCACCTTCTACAGGTCCTGTCTATCTCACGTTCTGTGCTGTCTATCTTCTTCCCACAGGTCCTGTCTATCTCCTCTCACAGGTCCTGTCTTCCTCACGCTCTGTGTCGTCTATCTCATCCCACTATTCCTGTCTTCCTCACCTTCGCTGCCGTCTATCTCTTCTCACAAGTCCTGTCTATCTCCTTCCACAGGTCCTGTCTTCCTCACGCTGTGTCGTCTATCTCATCCCACTATTCCTGTCTTCCTCACCTTCGCTGCCGTCTATCTCCTCCCACAGGTCCTGTCTATCTCCTTCCACAGGTCCTGTCTATCCCCTTCCACAGGTCCCATCTTCCTCACGCTCCGTTACGTCTATCTCCTCTCTCTCTTTCTCCATCCCGAGGCAATGAAACTCACAAGTGTGGCGAAGGCTACCATCTACAAGTACCATCTTGGTCTTGAGTTGGGTAACACCAGCCATCACATCGACCTGCCCACTCTGTGGGAAGGAACTTTTGCAGTCCATCGGTGGCGGAGTCTTTCCCCGCGGTGGACGCCACTAATGAAGACCTTGTAAATATTTCATTATATATATTCATCCTTATTTTCTTTTTTTCTTCTTCTTCTTTTTCTTTCTTATATCCACTCAATTATATCAGGGTATCAAGCTTGACAACCATCATGACTGGGTGAAGTAGAATACGTCTTCCTTTGTCATTAAGACTGGGAGCAGTACTCAGTGGCAGGCCGACTTAGCCCTAAAATAAATGGCCGCCTCTGACATGAGGAACAGATGCCATGTACAGCTGCTCCTAACATGGAGTACAGACTCATTCTGTATCCCTGAAGCCCTTACAGAGTACTATCAGCATGGCTAGCTGAGCCGAGGTTTTTTTAGTGAACTTGTTACTGCTCCCCCTCCTTTTTCATCCTTATTTTTAGCACTATATAATATTGTATGAACGATGTAATAAGAGTATATTCAATCTCAATCAATCTTTCTCTCTCTCTGCCAACCAGCCAACACCTCGACCTGCCCACTCTGTGGGAAAGAACTCTCGCAGTCCATCGGTGGCGGAGTCTTTCCCGCGGTGGGCGCCACCAATGAAGACCTTGTATATATTTATACAAGTATATACATATATACTCGTATATATGTATATTTATCATCTATTTTATCTATTTATATCTATTTATTCCTATATCTATCATTATTAATCTTATTTATTCATTTTATGTATTTAACCTTATATAATCTTATATATGAAAAAACAATAGAAAAAAATAAAAGATAAGTGGGTCAGGTGTTGATATTAAAAATAAAGAAGGCATCTCCTGACCACGAGCACATGTGCTTTTTAGATGGCAGAGCGCCATCTAGTGGAGCAAAAATAAACTAAACGTTTATTTAGCTTGCTCCGTGATTTAGTTTATTTTTGCTCCACTAGATGGCGCTCTGCCATCTAAAAAGCACATGTGCTCGTGGTCAGGAGATAATCTTATATGGACGTTATAATGAATTAGTTTCAATCTCATTCTCTCTCTCTCTCTCTGTTTCTCTAGCCCGAGCAGAGCTCTGCACTGAAGAAATTCCTTGACAAGGCAATCTCCCATGTCGGGGACTCCGACCTAGGAAAGATGCTGTCCGACTTCAGGACAGAATGTGACATTGAACGAGACAACACCCAGTGGGAATTGTCTAATACAAATAATTTGTAATTATTTTGTTTATATACTTTTTTTCCTCTCTATATAATTAACCCTATATAATATTATATGGACATTGAAATTAAAGTAGCTTCAATCTCTCTCTATGGGGAGGTTTCTGAGGATAAAGTACTGGGGGCAATCCTATATCTCCCTGAGAGGGAGCAACTCCTCAGACAGCTCTCGCCAGAAAACAAGATCATTCGGGGCGAATTCCTCAACATGGCAATTGAGCATGTTGGGGACAACAACTCCATTATGTCCAGTCGTCTATCCGGACTCAGAGCGGTTTGTAGCCCTTGATGCGGTCTAGACGTCCCTCGGGTCTGCTGTTGTTGTTGTCGTGTCCAATGAAGAGCCTCGGATATCCCCATACATCTCTATCACAACAGCAGCAATGTCCTCTATCTTGGGTGTGTAAAGCTGCTGTTCTTGGTCCATGTCAATTTTCTGTTGTTGCTGTGTCCAATGAAGAGCCTCAGATCTCTCCATGCATCCCTATCACAGCAGTAGCAATATCCACTATCTTGGGTGTGTAAAGCTGCTGTTCTGGGTCCATGTCAATTTTTTGCAAGGCTGTGGTCATTGCTGGGCATGAAAATATGTGGATAGGTGTTAGTTCCACACCAGGACAATTGTTACATGTCCTATAGGTTCTTGTGCCATCTGGATGTATTGCCATTCCTTTATAGTATTTTGTTCTAAGTCTTGTTATAGTTTTTGTCAGTTTTCTCTCAGAGTTTATTTCACATATTTGATATGGGTCAGATGTCATGTATATATTTAATTTTAATCTTCTAACTTTGTTTTGATGTTTACTGTAAGTCAATAATGTATGTTTCAATCTCTCACACATCAATCTCACTCTAATTTTCTTGCAGGTTCTGCTGAAGATATACGAAGAGAAGAAGAAGATATCACGGGGTGGGGGACGAGCCTGAACCGTTGACTCAGCCTGTTTGGCCACTTCAGGTGAGCAACGTTTCTGGTGAGTGCCCTGCCTCGACAAACCGACGACTGCCCATGGAGAAGTTGTACCACATCCTCGACAGCACATCTCCCGCAGGAGTTACACCAAGTCAACAAGATGGAGTCCTGTGACAAAGGCAATGAGAAGCAAATACTTTCCCTAAACCCAAAAGTAAGTATTTTCGAACTACCTGAATCAGAGGTAAGTATTATTAAACCTTCTTAATACAAATTCTAAGGATATATATTGGCAAAAGTATACGCTCAATATAGCCATATAAAAAATTATAAATATTTTTTCCAATTAATTTAAAATGTCAAGTTTTCAAACCTTAGCTTAGCATCAGGCCTGTGAAGAAACTCGTAAACCGAAATTAAGTATTATTGAGCCTTCTAAACCGAAAGTAAGTATTATCGAGCCTTCTAAACCGAAAGTAAGTATTATTGAGCCTTCTAAACCGAAAGTGAGTATTTTTGAGTCTCCTAAACCGAAAGTAAGTATTATTGAGATTCCTAAACCAAAAGTAAGTTATTTTGAGCTTTCTAAACCGAAAGTAAGTATTATTGGGTCTTTTAAACCGAAAGTAAGTATTGTTGAACCTTTTTTTTCTAAACCGAAAGTAAGCATTTGAGCCTTCTCTAAACCGAAAGTAAGTATTATAGAGCCTTCTAAACCGAAAGTAAGTATTATTAAGCCTTCTAAACCGAAAGTAAGTATTATTGAGGCTTCTAACCCGAAAGTAGGTATTTTGAGCTGCCTAAAGCGAAAGTATTTTTGAGCCGCCTAAACCGAAAGTAAGTATTTTGAGCCGCCTAAACCAAAAGTAAGTATTATGAGCCTTCTAAACCGAAAGTATTATTGAGCCTTCTAAACCAAAAGTAAGTATTTTGAGCTGCCTAAACCGAAAGTAAGTATTGAATTTCTTTTTTTAAGCTTTCACTTACCCTCCATTCAAACACAGTTAGAGAAAATTTCTTATGAAATGGGCAGAGAGTGTTTATTTGCCCATTAGATAACTTGATAAATTAACCTATTCTAATAAATTACATTGGAGACATTTTAGATGTTTGGTTGTCGCATGGCCTACTTGTGAATGCCTCTCTCCATAACAATGCCAATATCTTGCTTTAAGCTGTGCTATCATGAATACAATAGAGCTTATCATGGCTGCATTTAAAAGACGTTTTTTGATATCAATTGCTTGATTTCATTGTTGCATTTTTGTTTTAGGCATTGGGCACCTGTCCAATTGGTGGCTTTGTATATAAGTATGTATGGTTGGAACAGCTTGGCGACTACCTTCCAATTGTCCTTATGCTTGAAAGTTTGTCTCAACCTGGCGCTGGAGGTGAGCAAAGTTTCAAGTATATGGACGGTGGGGCATCTGGTGGGACGTCAGAGCTGGAGGATTTGTTGAACAATGAGGATTTGTTAAATAATGAGGATTTGTTGAACAATGAGGATTTGGATTGAACAATGAGGAATTGGATTGAACAATCAAGACTTGTTTAACAATGATTATTTGGATTGATCAATGAGGATTTGGATTTAACAATGATTATTTGGATTGAACAATGAGGATTTGGATTTAACAATGATTATTTGGATTGAACAATGAGGATTTGGATTGAACAATGAGGATTTGAATTGAACAATGATGATTTGAATTTAACAATGGAGATTTAGATTTAACAATGACGAATTGGATTTAACAATGAGGTCTTGTCGAACAAATTGAGCAATCTCCTTCTTCTTTCTTATCTCCACACTAGGTGAAGTAGAATGCGTCTGTCTTTGTCATTAAGACTGGGAGCACTACTCAGTGACAGGCCGATGATTGAGCAATGATTATTTGGATTGAACAATGACGATTTGGATTGAACAATGATGATTTGGAATTTGTAGAGTATGGGAGTACTTGGAATTTGTTGAACGGTGGAGTACTTGATGTTTATTTAACTGAGAAGTATACATGGAGATTTAGAAATGGTTAAATGAAGGAGTTTTCGGAGTTCTTTTGAACGGAGGAGTACTTGAAACTTATACAAAGAGATGTAACACTTGGGAATATTTATTAAACAAATAAATACTTGTAGAAGTTTATATATTGTTGAAAGAAGAAGTACTCGATGTGACCTGGAGTTTGTTGAACGAGGGAGTATTTGGAGCTTGTTGAAAGATGAAGTGATTGAAGATAGTTGAAGTTTGTTTAATATTGAACTTCTTGGGAACTTCTTATAGAGCTTGTTGAACGATGATGTGCCTGAAGATCCTTGTGGAGCTCGTTGAACGAATTACTTGTATATAGCTTTGAAACTTGCTAAACGAAATTGTAATTAGATCTTTTTGATCTTGGAGCTTTTCTTTTTAACTGTTCTTTTATATTTTAAAGAAAGCTAGTAGGTTATTTTATGGAAATTCTTAATTAACAACCACCAATGACAGTCAGTAATAAATGAAACATATGTTTTTTTTTTAAGGAGACAGAGACAATTTCTTAGCACTTGGTTACCTCGTATGTCTTCAATAAAGGTCACTGTAATATCTTTCAGAGTTATTGTCTTAATCCCGATATACATGCTAAAAGGTATAACTTCCTTAAGTTTTGTCCATGAGTGTGTCTTCAATAAAGATCACTGTAATATCTTTCAGATGTTTGAATCCCGATATACATACTAAAAGGTACAACTTCCTTAAGTTTTGTCCATTAGTGTATGTCATCTCGTGTGTCTTCAATAAAGGTCACTGTAATATCTTTCAGAGTTATTGTCTGAATCCCGATATACATACTAAAAGGTATAACTTCCTTAAGTTTTGTCCATGAGTGTATGTTATCTCGTGTGTCTTCAATAAAGGTCACTGTAATATCTTTAAGAGTTGTTGTCTGAATCCCGATATACATGGTAAAAGGTACAACTTCCTTAAGTTTTGTCCATGAGTGTATGTTATCTCGTGTGTCTTCAATAAAGGTCACTGTAATATCTTTCTGAGTTATTGTCTGAATCCCGATATACATGGTAAAAGGTACAACTTCCTTAAGTTTTGTCCATGAGTGTATGTTATCTCGTGTGTCTTCAATAAAGTTCACTGTAATATCTTTCATTGTTATTGTCTCAATCCCGATATACATGGTAAAAGGTATAACTTCCTTAAGTTTTGTCCATGAGTGTATGTTATCTCGTGTGTCTTCAATAAAGGTCACTGTAATATCTTTAAGAGTTGTTGTCTGAATCCCGATATACATGGTAAAAGGTACAACTTCCTTAAGTTTTGTCCATGAGTGTATGTTATCTCGTGTGTCTTCAATAAAGTTCACTGTAATATCTTTCATTGTTATTGTCTCAATCCCGATATACATGGTAAAAGGTAGAACTTCCTTAAGTTTTGTCCATGAGTGTAAATGTATTAAATCCAGTAAGATCTAGAGAAAATATTCAATATAAAAAGCATTTTTTCAAAAATAGATTCACTTTAAAATTCTAGAAGTAGCTACATGATGTTCTACCAAATTGTTACATTAGATAAAGCACATGGCAAAATAGAAATATTCTGGGAAAATGAAACATCTAAAAGCATATTTGGTCACTATATCTTCTGGTTATTTATTCCTACTTTATTCTTCTGCGTGTATTTGATCGATACATCAGCTTATTGGTCTAAGACGTCGTCGCTCTCAAAGCCTCTAGAAGAAATATTTCCACCCGCGCTATAAGAGTCTCAGAGGTCCGCTTTACGACTTAGGTTCTGTTTACTCGATGAACCAGAATGTGTAAACCGATTTTTTCAATATTTTCTTGTCGAATTCCTTGTTTTTTTTTTAATCCTTTTCCTGTCTACATGTGTTTTCCATCTTTCTCTCACTACACATATTTACCTTTTTTTAGCTTCATTTCACAATCTCTTCTTGTTATAGAGGCGTTTCTAACAATAATTGAGAATATGGTGATAACAAAATTATGTAAAATGGTGGTTTGTGCATAGTTTATCCTTTTTGGAGAGTGAGAACGCTTTTATAACTTCAGAATAATTGTTAACGCCTTGCTAAATACTTTAATTTTTTTTTGTTTCCTGATGAGAACGAAATATTTTTGTTGAAACGTCAAGATAATAAAAAAGATTTAATGACCGAAGTATCCTTAATTTTAAAACTATGAATGCCAGCCAGAGGCAGTCTCTTTCTTCATGATATCCTTTTATTCTCTCTAGTTTTAAACTTTTTTTTCTGTTATTCCTTATTGCATTACACATGTCATGAAGACACATGTATCTTGTTTAGGATTAGTTTAGGTACAAGACTTCCATACATGAGAGTAGATGGTCTGAAGTTGTCTCCTCCTTTTTACAGATGTTACATGTTTGGAAGATTCTAACTCTGCCTTCAAATTTGGTCTGTCTTGTGTGTCCCTGGGACAGACATGTGGCATCTCCACAGGTTAGGTTGGCATTGATGACCGCCTCAAGTCTCTCAGGCAGGTACCACTGGTTAGGTAAAGTCCTCCTTCAGTTTTCCTCTTCTGTCTTGTGTGTCCCGTTTATAGACGGGACAGACATATGACATCTTCACAGGTTAGGTTGATGATCACTCCAGGTCTCTCAGGCAGGTACCACTGGTGAGGTAAATTAAATATGTCTTCCTTCAGTTTTCTGTCTTTTGTGACCCGTTTATAGACGGAACAGACATATGACATCTTCACAGGTTAGGTTGATGATCACTCCAGGTCTCTCAGGCAGGTACCACTGGTGAGGTGAATTAAAGATGTCCTCCTTCAGTTTTCTGTCTTTTGTGACCCGTTTATAGACGGAACAGACATATGACATCTTCACAGGTTAGGTTGATGATCTCTCCAAGTCTCTCAGACAGGTACCACTGGCGAGGTAATTTAAATATGTCCTCCTTCAGTTTTATCCTCTGTCTTGTGTGTCCCGTTTTGAAGCGGAACACACATATGGCATCTTCACGGGATAGGTTGATGATCTCTCCAGGTCTCTCAGACAGGTACCACTGGTGAGGTAAATTAAATATGTCCTCCTT